GTGAGGTGAAGGTTTGTGAGTTACGAGCGAAGAGCGTGGAAAAATTTGAGTCGACGGAGACTCGGCACAGTATCATTTCTGAGAAATTCATTCAGAATAATCGTAAGATCCTAAGAGCACTCTGGATCGTATTTTTTGTCAGATAACAAGAGAAGATCGATTCCAACACAAGAAGTCTTCTCTAAATAACGTTTTTTCACGTGGGGATCGAGCGTGTTCGCATAACCTGAGAGAGGATATCCGGCTCTGTCCTGGTGTACCGGTTCATAAGGGAATTACCATTGTTCTTTCTTTGTTAAGGAGTCATTGGTTAGCTGTTGTGTATTGTTCGGTCTTTTGTAACGGCTCTTGTGAACCGGTACACGAGGACAGAACCGGATATCCCGCCATATTGAAAAATGTGGAACACCAACATGGCGACTCAACTTTCCCGCGAAATTTGTGACGTCGAGTGCAAACGCTCTATTGCGTCACCCCACCAATTCCACAAATACCCTACGAGTCAAGTTCGTGCCCAGATTCCTCATAGTTTCTGGAGTGGGGAAGTCTTCCTTTCGACCTGACTATAGTTAATGCTTGGTCAGCGCTTTATTTGATATTGTCAAACAGTTCTTAGAAATTGATATTTGATATTGCCAAACAGCACAAGAAGTCAATTACCCGTAACATTATGGGTATGGGCGTTCATTCAAATCTTCGTAATGACCTTTGGGAGTCAACTTCTGGAGGATATGACGAAGAATTTGAACGACCGTTGGAAGAAGGCAGACACGTGTGTCCTATCTGTCGTCTGGGTCTGCGAGAACCATTTCAGACAAGCTGTGGGCACAGGTTCTGTAAAGGCTGCATAAGGCGGTCGATGCGGTAAGGATATAAGTTAAGTACTGTCTTAGGCAATCCTCCTTTTTCCTCCGTCTAGTGACTACGGAAGCCGATAACGGACAACCCAACCTGTCACGGGTTTAACCAGTTGGTGTAATAAGGTAGATCGTGGACAAATTGTTCGACTCTTTGTTTCGCTTTGGCGTTTCATCGTTTCTCCAATCCGATACTTTTCGCGGCAAGATTTCCGTAAACCCCATACTTCATTATGCATTCTTGGATAAAGGAAAGCAGAGGCAAAACAACAGACTTCCTTTGGGACTGCGGCTTTGTTTTTGATTGATATGGGGTTCGGAAATCTTTCCACCATGGTGAGGTCGAACTCAAAAGAGTAAGGACGAAGCGATGAGTCGACTCTCTGAACAGCGAGTCGAACTGAGGATTCGACGAGTTGATCTAGGAAAACAATGACTCAGCGAAATGAAAAAGATTTCCCTTAACCCCACATCAGTCAAAAACAAAGCCGTAGTTCCAAAGAAAATATGTCGTTTTGCCTATGCTTTCCTTTATTCAAAAATTGAATGCATAATGAAGTATGGGGTTAGAGGGAAATCTTGCCTACCATGGCCAAGACGAGTTTGCCCCTGGATTGAGTAATGTCTAAATTAGTTTCTGTCAAAAATTTCAAACTAGTTAGAACCAAGACAAGTGTTGAATATTAATTGACCAATGGCTATTTTGAGAGTTTACATGTGCGTGGGGCAGGTGAACTCAAAAGAGGTTGAGTTTACCGGATCACCGAGTCAAATCAGAGACCAAGTCAGTCGTTTTTTTAAATGGTACAGATCGACCACATATTCAGGGAGCTGTAGAGAGTGAAAAAAAAAAGAAATAGTGAGCTTAACTTCGTTGGACAAAAGCTCGATCAGAACAGGGCTAAGAAATAAACAACAGACTCTGACCTCGAGGTTGACCTTTTCGTCACTGTTCTTTTCGTCATTTTTGATAGTCAGATCGACCACATATTTGGAAAGCTGTAGAGTAGAGAGTAAAAAACTTATTGACATAACTTCGTTGGAGAAAAGCTCCTAAGAGGCCTAAGAAATAAACAACAGACTCGATCTCACCTCGAGGTTGAGCTTTTCCTCTCTGGCCTTTACGTCTTTACAGAAATCAAAGTTAAAAAAATATTTCTGTTACTAATTTAGCTGAAGAGAACAGTGCTTATGCATATGTAATCATATGTAAACTCATTGAAGACATACATATGATTTAAAAAAATTTGCACTTACCACTTGCCATTCTGATCGACGAAGACCTCGTGGTCTGACTGAAAAAAGGTATACAGCTAACCTGTGACTCAGCCTGACTCGGACTTGGACATGACTCAGGCTTGGACTTGACTCGGAGAATGGATTCACTCAAAAGAGGCTTTTACTGTGACGTTGTTTCCCCTTGACAGCGCGTTGGCGACCATCTTGAAGGTCAACCACAAACAGGCTGAATAAGGGTTGAAAGCTGACAGGGTGGATTTTTGCTATGTTTTCGGGGGCAAACGCAGTTCAATTCACTCAATCTTGTTAGTTCGATTCTTTGGCTTGCCTCTTTGACTCATCGTTTTACGAGTTCAACTCATCACCAATCACATTGGTTCATCATTGTTTGTCTTTTAGCCGTTTCGTCATGGCGTTTCATCGTTTTGACTCTACCACGTATATTACATGGATGGTTCCTTTATTCCATGCACTTATACCTGACATATTTATCGATAATGTACTCCACTGGAAATGGATCCTTTGAAGAATGGAGTAAATGTTCATTTTCATGAATGTGAAAATGGATTTGGATGTCTAGTAACACACTTTGATAGAATTTTGTATACTCTAGCACGTCCATCTTTGTTATTTAACATTCCCCCTCAGTTGGAGTGTTTATTGCTAAGAGCTTACCAAATGTTTGTTGTTCTCTGTGGTGATGACACATTGAATTTCAACTCCACTTTGAAAAATACAGTTCTCTAACCAATGCATAATTGGATGATTTACATATTTGAGGTTCCAATGCTAGCACTACATTCATGTGTATACTGTTATACACATACTGGTTTGGCAAAATTTATACATGCTGTTCAATTCTATTTCCAAGAGCTGACAAAGTGGCACGATGTTAATAAGTAATTAAGGAAAACATCATCAATTTCAAATGTAAGAAAATGTGTAGATCTACAAATGAGCAATAATGACATTTTGACTCATTGTTACTTGTTATATTATTCAAGCTTTTATCAGCAAAATATTTACAGATAAATATATTTTTTAATTTCATGTAGTAGTATTGTATTTCCAGCAAATTAAATGCCAAATGCATTAAACTTAAATAAATGAAATACTCGAGTACCAATGCTCAGGAAATAAAAATATCCATATTTCTCCAAAATATACTGTTGCTATTGGGAGTTAAACCTGTGGGTTTTTAGTACATAGAAACATGTATATTTTAAATGAGAGAATGTGATGCTACATGAAAGTAATGCAAGCATTGGAATCCCAGGTGTGACATTATTCAATATCCAATGATGGGTTGTTGGATCATCTTAGAGAACACACAGAAAAGTTGAGCAATTTTTCCAAGAGTAAAATTGTTCTCAAGGTATTTATTATTCAGAAGTTCTTTAGGAATTGCTGATTTTTAATTGGCCTTTTTACTCTTAGAAATTGAGTGTTATAAAAATTGTTTTTGTACATGTTTGTTAGTTTAGTTTAGGTTTGGATAATCAGTGGGCCAGATAGCCAAAGTAAGTTCTAGATGTTTTACACTATTTTCTGGCCATATCGCCAAATAGTTTTCTCTTGATTCATAACAGTGAAAACGATCAATATTTCTGCTAGGATGACAGGTGCATCCTGTAAAATTAAACACCCACCTTTGTAAAGAGTTGTCATTGCCACCAAAAACAAACAAACACAACACTCGAGCTGAGAGGGAATGTTTAATAACAAAGATGGACGTTCTAGAGTGTACAAAACTCTATCAAGGTGTGTTACCAGATGTCCAATTCCATTTTCACACTCATGAAAACGAACATTTACTTTACTCTTCAAAGGATCTATTTTCAGTCAGCATGGAGTAAATTATTCATAAATAAGTCAGCTTTAATTGCATGGAATCAATTAACCCCTTATGTAATACAAGCTGAATTACAGCCCCTGTTAGTGGGGGAGTCAAAACAATGAGATGCCATAACCAAATGATGAAAGCCATGATGAAATGACGAAATGGTAAAAGGACAAACGATGATGAACCAGTGTGGTCATTGAAAAGTTGAACTAGTAAAACAACAAGTTGAAGAGGCCAACAGACAAATTGAACTGATGAGATAAGGAAATGTACTCAAAAGCAATGAGCCAACTCTCTAAATGGCTAGTTGAACTGGCAATTGAATGAGTCGAATTTGGAAAACAATGACTTGACTAGAAGTATTGGGGTGCGGAAACGATGAAACACCACAATGAAACAATGAGTTGAACGTTTTGTCCATGATTTACCTTCATAGTTGCGCCTATCCAAGCGCTTCAATTAATAGACCAATTCATCTATTCAATGCAAATAGGAGAAAGACTTTTGGAGGAGGTAATGGAATTTACTATTGACTGTTAGTCAGTTTTAGTTTCCAAAACAAATATCCTGTCAGCAGACTACATGGAATAACCAAACACTCGCTATGCTTCCCAACATCTCCGCAACATGGTAAAACCCTTGCCCATGTTTTTTGGCAGATAGTTTTCTATGTGAAGTGTTGCACCTAGAAAAGTAAGCCTATCTTCAGTTTTGAAAATCCTTTACCACCTCTTGGTTGGCTCAATTGGTTAGAGCAGCAGACTATTGTGCGGGAGGTCAAGGGTTTGAGCCCCGGCCGGACCAACACTCAAGGTCTTAAATAACTGAAGAGAGTGTGCTACCTTTCTACAATATCAAGAAATGGATAGACATTCTAGTCTTCTCAGATAAGGATGAATAAAGTTTAGGTCTCATCCCCTGCATCTATTGATTAGTTAATTTGGTTAGGTAGGGCACTTTAAAGAACCCACTCACAAGATTTCTGTGATGTGGTCTGGCCTGTTTACTGGGAATTGGGGGGGAGGGGGCATATTCAAATAAGTTTCCTTCGATTGATTGTAAACTGCTGATGCAGTCCAGCCTAAGTCCCCCAAAAAGTGCTTTGATGTGCCTTTGATCGTATCCAAATTTTAATTTGCGCAATATAAATAATAAATTATTATTAATTGTAAGATCTGATTTTGAAACATGTGCAATTTTGATCAAATTGTACTCAGTTTGTTGTCAAGTAAATGCGATTTGAGTTTTTGTTGTAACAACTAGAACTAATGCGTGGCCTTGTTTATCTAGAAGATGAGTCAAGATATTATTGCTCATTAAGTCGTTGTCTGTTTAATTCTACTACACTGTTTTTTATTACCACTATAGGGATGCTGGTCGCAAATGCCCTTTGGATAATGAACCGCTAAGTGAAGCAGAGGTTTGTTTAAGTCTTCTAACTTACTGTTGTTATAATGATGTATAGTGTGGGAGCAGAGTCCTGAATGATAGCAAAATGCTCAATCCACCTCAATAAAAGGTTTGGTGCCATGTTCGTATAGAGCAATGTCTAATCTTGGAAATGAGGTATTTTGTAAGTAAGGAAGTAAAGGGATTATTAACAGTGTTTCCACAGAGTGGCTCTTCATCTGTCACTAACTAAAGACATTATAGGATCAACTAAAACCTATTTAATATTTACAATCATAAATTTAAAACAGCAAAACATTCCAGTCTGTATACACTTAAATCTTAAACTAATTTCAAATTACTAATTAAAAGGCGTTTCTTCACCTGGTTATTTAAGTATTTAAATAAATGCAATGTAAAAATATGCAAGTGATCGTCACAGATTTTCAGTTCCTTTGGTAGATTATTAAATAAAACGGCTGAGGTGTCTTGAAAGGTCCCCTTTTCTAGAGGAACCTGTAGTCTAGAACAGTCTGATAAGCGCAGCTCTCTACGTATAGGGACTCATTGTAAGTTCAGAGATGTTGGCCACTGTTTAAATTAAAGTGCTTTAAAGGTCAACTTCAGCAAATTAAAATCCCTTCTTTCTTGCACAGGAAGCCAATTAAGCTTTAAATTGTCTCCAATGTTATTAACATAATACCGCCGCCTGGTTAGCTCAATTGGGAGAACGCCGGACTGCTGTGCGGGAGGTCGAGAGTTCAATACCGGCCGGACCAACACTCAGGGTCTTAAAATTAACTGAGAAGAATATGCTT